GCCAAAGTCTAACGTTCAAAGCACTGTGCTTGAGGTTATTGTCCTGGTAGAATTTAAAATCGTTATGAAGGTTTAGTTTTCGTGCTGAAGATTTCAAATTTTGATTTAAAATGTCAATATACTTGTACTGATCCATTATACTGTCAATAAAAACAAGATTACCAACTCCAGCGGACGACATACACCCCCATACCATAACTCTTCCTCCACCATGTTTTACTGTTGGCACCAAGTTCTGTTTGCGATTCTTCCCTGGGTTTTCTCCACACCAAGATCCTACAGTCAAAACCAAATATATTAAATTTACTCTCATCAGCAAATATAACTTCATTCCAGTAATCAGAATTCTTATTTATGTTGGATTTGGCGAAAGCCAGTCTGAGTTTTCTATTCTTTTCACTCACGAAGAATTTTTTCCTGGCTGCTCTACCGTGATATCTGGCTGATCGAATTACTCTTCTAATAGTCTCAGGATTAACAATTACTCCATATAATGCTTGTAAATCAGCAGCAACTTTAGGAGCACTCATTCTTAGATTTTGTTTTTAATATTTCGAACGATAATTCACTTTATTCCATTGGATATAGCTCTGATGGTAGGCCAGGTCTTCTTTTATCCTGAATCATAGTATGATTCTTTTTATATCGTTTAATGATATTGAAAACTGTTGAATGACTCAGGTTAATTGTTTGAGCAGTTTTTCTAATAGATTTTCCACGCTCAATATGCAAATTAATAACTAATTTTCGAATTTCAGGCAAAGCTTCTTTTCGTTTAGCATTCATGACTGCACAGAGCTAAAAAAACACAAAAATTCCAAAACAAACTGGAGAGAAATACTGCAAACGATTTTATAAATTACTGCCAATTGCTTTTGAGTAAAAATAAAAACCCGAAAAAATATTTTTATTACTTACTTCAGATGATTTATGTTGCATAGTACGCAGTAGTATCTAATGGTGTCCCATCACTTATGTGAGCCATTTTTTGCTCCGTTCTAAACAATTGTATTTTTATTAAATTAATATTTTGAGAAAATGTATGTTATGTAATAATTGTTACTAAATTTAAGTATGAAACACACACAAAAAATTTACATGTTTTTAAAATTTATTTTATTACAGCTTCCTTTTATAAAGCACAAATGTCCCATTACTTTTGTGAGACACTGTAGCAATCTATTGTATTTCGTTATAATTGAATCATAGAAATGTCTCGGATTTCATTATGATTAGATAAACATCTATGGAGATGATTTTATGTGCGTGGAAATAAAGACTGGAAATTCGTCAAGTTCACGTTTTGTTATCCTCATCGATAAACCCTCAGTTACAAAGATTGCAAGCTAATTCCTCATCTATGCATCCACTCTGTTACTCTGCTCCGTGAGCTCAGTTTTTTTATTCTGTGTTGGTAAATTGTGCATTTTTTGCTTTAAAATGATTGAATTATGTTGTTCTTTATCTTCCGGTTAAGGTTTTTATTTAGTTAATCTGCATGCAATATTTGCAGAATTTTCAACAATTTAAAAAGTTGTTTAACTGCGGCTAAGACTAATGTTTTTTACTATACCAGCCATATTTGTTACATTTGAAACTTAGCAGCTTAATGATTTAATTCTTTCTGCACTTTCAGTGTCTTTTTGTCGAATGGGACCAAAAGGAAAGTTTCAGTTTTGCGCACCGAAAAATCTGCCTTCTTGCCTGTTTTTGCGTAGAAACTCTAATTTTAATTGTAAAAAATGTTTTTAAAATTGTTTTAACCGTATTTGCTGTTTTATGCTTCTCTATATCTTTCAAATTTAATGAAGATATTTTGAGGATTTATGTATTTTTGGCTTGCCGCGAAGTGAGAACTGAATTAATTGAATGAGAAATCCACCTCTAATGAAATTCTAATGAAATAAGTTTAAATGAAATGCAGTAAAAACGCGCATAATGTAATATTCCGTACAAGGAAGTCATGTGGTGTCCGTATCAGATTTTTGTAAAACATTATTAAACAATAATATTAATTTTAACAGTATTAACTTATTACATAATTAAATTTGAACACAGCACACAATGATGATATTATTATTCAGTATTATTCCCCAGAAACCAGAAATATCTCTAAATAAAGTAAAAGCGAACAAACAATACTAAGAAAAGAATTTATTCCATAACTTTATACATTTAAGTCAGTAGAAGCAAGCTCATACCCTGCATTTTTAACAGCGATACTAAACCATGCATATATAGATAACACTAACATTAATATGTTGATACTATTAGCTTAAAGGAATAGTGATAAAATCTGTTTCAGGCAACATGCATATTTATATTTTCATTTCACAATATAAGCTATTTTAGATACGAAATATTAATAACATTTGCACAAAAATACCAATTGGAAATATTACTTCATTATAACTAAGTCATACGGAATGTCATAAGAACAACAAGGAACATTAATATAAGGCATAGAAACATCCGGCTAAGCTCACAAATTTTCGAGCTGTCTTTCATAGTAAGCTCTTCATATAGGGAACGCTCATCGAAAGTAATTCGTTTTAATAATCTTGGGAACAAATGAAATCGGTATTAAATTGTAGTGAACACAATCAATAGTTTAAGAATGCTGATTTACGAGATTATAGATATATGTTTGGTTATTTTTTTCAGGCAAAGGGGGTTATCTGAAAGATAAGATCCGCTTAAAATATTTCGCTTCATACTAAAAATAATTCATCTAGTTTTTAAAAGCCTGGTTTGGCTGTTAATTTTGGCTATTTCATAGTAGTCAGTAAGCGTTTGTCTTCAACGTTGAGCAGAAAGACGGATTGCAGTTTAGAAACATTTCCATGTAATAACACATCCCTCGAATATTTGAAATATTTTTTCTCTGCTACTATAAAGGAATTTGATCTTCATATTACGATGGATTGTCTGCATTTCATTCATGTTCTTCTATGTTTCGGCTATTTTTTTACCATTTTGGTTTGAAAAAAATTTTGATCTGTACCTAATAACCATGAAGAATGGGATTGTTTGTTTATAAATGTCAAAATTTACGATATTATAAAAAAGTGTTCGGTACCTTCTGATTATTCGCATCTTCAGGAATAATCGCCAACTCATAAGAGACTTTGTTAATTGGCGTAAAACGTTTCTTTGTTAATTATGTGGCTCGTTAAGAACTATTTTGCTCATAAATAAAAATGAAAAGAAAAATTTCTAAGAAACAAGAAATTAAGAAGAAAAAAAATTGTGCTGCCGAAATTTGAATTTATACAGTCATTGGGTAATAATATTCAGCGAAATGATGAACAAATATCATTTCGTTATCTTTCTCCAAGTCCACGTATTCATAAACACGCAAAACGTATGGATGTTCTAACGAATGTTGAAAGAATTAGTATGATCAATTAAATTATTCTTTTCTCTCGCAGTTATTAATACCTCACTTTTTATGAAAACTGCGACCAATAAAGCTTACTACCCGCATTCAAAAATAATTTGTACTTCATCGCCTTATTTGCTTGTACTTCACTGTCTTTGAAACTTCAATTTTGCCCACCTGATTGTGATAAGCCGGTTAGTATGATCACTGAAATTACTTACATTTTGAAATAAACACTTAAATTATTTACATTATTTTTAATCTGCTGCAAGCATTATTCGCTGCTGGTTCATTAAAATGTAGACTTTTTTTTTATATAATGAGAGCTTTGCTTTCCTGATAAATAAAAAAAGAGCGTAGCATTGTTTTTTGGTTTTATATTTCATTTACTATTTTAAAGCAACAGGTAGATATTAAAATTATTAGCAGAGATTCTTTATCTTTTGCTTTGGTTGTATTGCACTTTCTCGGTATGAGGACATTTTTAAAAAGTACTGGAAAGCCCGTGAACTCTAATGGCTTAGGCGTTGATGTTTGGCATCTGTAAAATAAAATAAATAAATCTTTTGCTTTCGTAGTTTACATTCTTTGACTAACTTTTCTCATTATGTGAACATTTATGGCTTGTGTTATTAATTGTACTTTGCTTTATTTGATTGAATTAATTCCGATGACTAACCATAATTCCATTTTCATGCTTTTATTTATTCTCACTCTCTCTCCTTACACATATTTTTATCAACCTATTCTTTATTCAAGTTTAATTTAAAGAAGTTATTTCTAATATTCGAAGGCACTAGTTCAGTAAATTATTGTCATGAACATATATTTTAACTTCGCATCTTGCATGCAAAATTGAAGAATGTATTATTCTAAGACATTTTTATACTTATAAAAATTTATTTAAAAGTAATAATAATGACTATTTATATTATTCAATTTTTATTATTCAGTTTTTAAGTATATAATAATGCACTATTTGTCTTTAAAATTTGTCCTACGAATAATAACACATCACAATTCAACATCTTACCAAAGAAAAGTTTTTCTTAAACGGTGTTTTTAAACATAAATATTTACCTACACATTTCTGTACGGATTAATAATGCTGATGTCAAACAAAATCATAAACTTTCCTTGCTAAATTTTGATTATGCTTTCTTTTATTCGCAATAAGTAATTCTCAAGTCGAACCTTTATTATGCCTGAACATTTTATGCTAATTAGGCTATGCTATATGTTTCAGTTTAGAAAACATTAGACCAGTGCTCCGTAACCTTTTCTCACCTGCGACGTACAAAAAATCTTTCTGGAATTTCGTGGCACACCAAAAGCTAATGTATATATGTATTGATTTATACACAAAATTTACAAGAAATTTTTGTTTTTAGTTTGAAAAATATACAATTATAAAACCATAACATATTTATTTATATGCAATCATAATAATTATCAATGTGATACCTGCGCTTAAAAAAAGTTATATATTTTTGAGTTCCGAGTTATCAAGGAAGTGCCGAAAAAATTCAAATGCTGATACACTTACAATCACACACACAACCACACAACAGTGAAATATATAAAAACATTTAAAATAGACATTATTAAGGAAAAAATTGTCACTGTGTATTAAATACATGATAAAAAATTGCAAAATGTCAAATACATGTATTTGATAGCGGCACACCTATATCCTACTCATGGCACACCAGTGTGCCGCGGCACACCGGTTGCGGAGCACTGCATTAGACAACTGATAAATGGGCTAAAATATTCATAATAAAGGTTTTGGTTGGGTTAACAAAAGTACATTTTTGGTAGCATTAAAAAAATCGCTTTCAAAATTTAAGCTTAAAAAATATTTCCATCATATAAAAATAAACTAATTCAAACAATCAGTGGTAAAAACAAATACAAATGTTATCATTTATTATACATATTATCTTTTGGGAATAGTTTAGTTAGTTTAGCAGCAGTAGATAATATTTAATACTCTGATGACACGAATTTTCATATAAATGGTGGTTTTGTAAACATTATATGTAGCTGAGGCATTGTACACACCAAGAAATTATATTCAGTCTCTTAGCTCTCAAAAATTCAGAAGTGTGACACTAATAATGCATTACTTTAAGTTGAATGTCATCTTGGATTACTTGAATGAACACTTCTGTGCTAGAATACATTCTAACCATTATCCTGAACAGTTTGATGAATTTGGATGGATGATCACGAGATCTAACATAATTCATATAGGTGCAATATAAAAATATCTGCGCTTAAAAATATTGCTCCTCTTACAATGATATTAACGTTATTAAACATTCATAATAAATTCAATCTTTTTAGCTAATAGTGAACTTAAAGTGATAGTGAGTGATAAACTTAAAACACTGATCGAAACAATGCAGTTTTGATCAAAACAATGCAATTATCTGTAAACAATTCCAGCCTTTAGATACAAATTGAACTAATTGTAATCTTTGGTTACAATTTTAAACGAAATGTTACAATTGTAACAAGACTGATTACATTGTAGCCTTTAGTTCGATAAAATTGGAATTGTATAACCTTTGGTTACAAATTTGAACTAATATATACTGTTTCCTCATTAAGATTACCAAATTTCATTAATAATCTTTAAATATACGTCAATATTATTGCCAATATATTTGGTCTCTGCATATATTAAAAAGCACTTATACAAAAAATATTTTAAAGGCTTTAAGTAAGAAAGTTGGGAATGTTATAATTCGCGTTACCTTTATAAAATACATTGTTACACCATATGACAAAGAGCTCACTTTCATATGCAAGAGAATTTCACAGGAACTCCCTTTACGAGATGCTTTAAATGATAATCATGCATCAAATAAATATATATGGGTATCATATTTCTGCACACATTATGTCATGTTAAGTCTTTTCTTGATGAACTTGGCAATTAGCTGCTGTGGTCTTTCTTGCCACATTTCCATAGTTTCTTTAGTTTCGCTTATTTGGTCCCCTTTAAGACGATCCAATAAAGAAACGCAAACAACGGCACCTGGAAATAAAAATGAATTTAATTTTCAATATAAAATTTATACAGCTTTAGGAAATACTCTCCGTATGTTTGCTAATAATAAAATAAGCTATTACAAGACTTGGATGGTGTTACCATGAGTATCTAAGCGCAAACACAGTAGCAACAGAATATTAAAAGACTAATGCCATTTTAACGAAATTAATGAACTCTTAAAAAAAGCGTAGTTTAAATGCTGAAGTTCAAATAGTTGTAATTATGGGTGATTTAAGATCCCAATCTAGAGAAATTATAAATACAGGTCATAAATTCTTCACGAATTTTATTCCGTGTACCTCCGGTAGACAGTAATTATGCCTCGCATACACGTGCGCGAACGATATGCGCAGATGTCAGAATTTGAGAGAAGTCGTGTAGTTGGGCTCAAAGAAGCCGGTTGGTCTTATCGGCGAATAGCTCGACATTTGAGCAGGAGCGATGCCACTATTAGACGATGTTGGCAGGAATGTCCGCGCACAGCGTCAAGAAGGAAGCGGTAGGCCTAGAGAAACGACAAAACGTGAAGACCGAGCAATCGTTAGAGCGGCACTCACAGTCCCAGATGCATCATTATCATCCATTGCACATGCAGCTAGTGCTTCAGTGACTGCAAGGACCATTCATAGACGGCTCACAGAAAGGGGGCTGAGGTCACGGCGCCCCTTGCGCCGTCTACCTTTGACCTCTGTACAATGTCAAGCCCGTTTGCAGTGGTGTCGGGCTCATTCGCACTGGAATGTCACTGACTGGAGTAGAATAGTCTTCAGTGATGAGTCCCGCTTTGAACTGAGCCCCGATGAGCAGCGAAGGCGAGTCTGGAGACGCCCCGGACAGCGGCGTGATACGAACCTGACTGTCTTGCGGCAGACAGGCCGACGACCAGGAGTGATGGTCTGGGGTGCCATTTCATTTCATAGTAGGACCCCTCTGGTGTTCATCCGTCGCAACCTTCTAGCACAGTGGTACGTCGAAGAAGTTCTAAAGTCCGTTGTGTTGCTCTTCATGTCATGCCACCCTGGGCTTACATTTCAGCAAAATAATGCCCACCCCCACACTGCACATGTTTCTACTGCTTGCCTTAGTGCTTGCCGAACATTATCTTGGCCAGCAAGGTCGCCGGATCTCTCTCCTATTCTCCAAACGTGCTCACGTTTGGAGAATTATGGGCAGGGCCCTCCAACCAGCTCGGGATGTTGACGATATAACGCGCCAGTTGGACAGAATTTGGCACGATATCCCTCAGGAGCACATCCGCAACTTCTATCAATCGATGCCAAACCTAATAACTGCTTGCATAAGGGCCAGATGTGAACAAACGCGTTACTGAATTTTTCACTTTGTGAAGCTTTGTCACTTCAATAAATCATCCAATTTTTCTCAAACTGTAATTTCTGTACATGTACATCACTTGTACCGATTTTCGTCCCATTTGGATAACTCCTTCTTGGTGCGACGTTTTTTTTTGTCTAAGAGTGTTTGTAAATTTAATCTTAATTTTAAATACCTATTTAATTATCTGCCAGCACCTCAAAGGTGTCCTAGAAGTTGACTCTTTCAAATGACACTCAAACTTCAAACTAAAGACGACAGGTAATCAATTGCCTTGAAAGGGATCGTTGTATTCAAATTTAATTTTAATTAAACATTTATCTAAAATTATTGCTCTAATCACTGCAGTGACCCCTCTGTAGATCCAAATGGATTACAGTTGTAAGGGATGGATGTCGAACAGCTGAGAGGGCAGTTGTTCTCACTCGTAGTCAGTGGTGACCGAGAGCATTAAATTGTATCGATAAATTTCCATTTAATTTTAGTTTATGTGTATATTACTGCATCAAGTGACTCTCAGCCTATAGGTTACCCCGTATCCTGAACACATGACAAACAGCATGGTCTTAGTGGAGTTCGTTCTATAAATTTGGTAATAGAAACATCCTTAAAGGAGTGTTTACAGAGTCGGCAGAACATAACTTCATGCTAGTTTATTGGCATGGACATATGATCCATTCGTTTCTGCAGTTCTGAGTCTTACGTTTAACGAAATAAGGTTGTTTAATTTATCTCATGAAATACCGTATATTTCGTATCGTATATTCGCCACTATTATAATTAAACTATATAGTTGTAAATAAAAAGAGTATTTTTAACGCCATATACGACGTACCTGATACAGATATCCTCTTTTTCACAAAACGTTAACCACACTCACTAAAGAAATAACTATAGTTTATTATTTTAAAATAGGTATTTCAAGATCTTTACGAACTCCCTCATTTACAGTCGTAACGCGTATCGTTATTACTGCATAGCACTCATTTTCTTCATCTGCAAGTCAGGTACATTCGTGCGTTTTTCACGAAGCGGAATACGCTGCATGGAAATGAAATGGAAAGCAATTAGGGAAGCTGACCATCTTCTTTAGTTATTGTTTCCATGCTTACGACGCAAGCCGGGTGGGTAAAATTACCTTGAAGTATATATTCTACAGTAACATAACTATAATATTAATATTTCATTAAGTTTAATTTGCAGAAAAATGGAATTTGGCTCAATTTGACTACCAACTATACACAAAGGCATAAAAATTTCCCAGACACTGCTGTGAAACATGAACTTCTACAACACAATTGTTCATTGATTATTAAAATTCAGTTATTTAGTAATGTTCAGGGACATTTCTTGATTAACTTATAACTGCTATTCTCCTGGCAGTCGTTTACTGTACTCGTTTACTGGTAAAAATTGGCACTGGGAGATAAAAACTGGAATCTGGCAGTTCTAGGTGATCCGTGGGACAGGAGGTAAGGCTTGGTTATTTCGGCAACGAATGGCCCACGGAGTGACTCGACGTAGATCCCCAGCGCGGGATAGAGCCGCGTAATATTGGTGGGTAGCATCAAGATGACCAGTCCGATTTCCATATTCATATGATTGGCCCACCATCTCGTGGACTCAGGAACTGATGACCATGGGTGCCAGTTCAGCGAGGTGGCAGTAGTGAAATAATTTAAAAGTCCGCTGCTCGTGGTTGGGTCTAGCATGTCTCTCAGAGGTTGTCTTTGACGCATTCCCGCAACTTGCCCAATAAGGAGGCGACGAGAATGCCACAACACTGAAGTTGGCGGAATATGTATATGAAAACGACTTATAACTACTATTAAAAAGACGTGTTTCATATATATGCTTTAATTATTAAACGATTAATGCATGCCATGAAATTGACTATGATCTTAATAATTAAATTAAATTTACCTTTGATACCTGCGTGATGGCACATAGCTGCGAAAGCTAAAGATTCCATTTCGATGTTCACTACACCCTTAGAATAAATATCTTGAAGGAAAGTTATCTTATTTTCTTCTGTGTAGTCGCAGAAGGCTCCGTCCAAGCGGCCCTGACCTGTAGAAATTACGAGCATTAGTGTATTATATTAGCATAGTTCAGCAGGAAGAAGGTTTGGATATTCAAAAACAAAACTACAGAAACATCTTTGAAGGCTTTTATCTCTCTGACTTTACTAACTACTGTAATATAAAAAGAATATTGTACTATACAATATTAAACAATACAAATTATTAGTATTATATACTTTGAATATAAAAACTATTGTATTATATAGTATTAAACAGTACAAATTATTAGTATTATATATTTCACTTTAGTTAAACAAGTTCGTATATCAGCCTAAGATTTCATAGGTCATTGAATAGGGTGTAAAATTGCAGTAAAACATATTTTAAGAATATGTGAGGATATTCTTTGAGAAATAAAAATTAAAATAACATACATCTTACACAGCCATCCATAACTTTTTATTGTATTCAGATGTGAAAACTTTCTGTGTTTCACATCGTGTTGCTTGGCATCCAAGAGTTTTTTTTGACAGAATTTAAATCTGTTGACTTTAGGTAGCATCGTGAAGACAAACTCAGGAATGGGTTCCCGTAAAGGATGAGATTGAATGCCAGCGAAACAAACGCTATACTACAGAGCCATCGTAGGACTTTACAGTTTCCTGTAGATATGCAGGTATCTGGGGATGCATACGATTATCTCTACACACATATTTTTCCATTTTTCTGAAGCAGTTAGAAATGCCAGTCAGTCACACCAGATTACTTATCAGTAATTATTAGTGTTCAGCATCTCAATTTCCGAGAGCAGACAAGCTGCATAGTTGTACTTTGAGTATCAAGGGTACTTTGTTTTGATGTCCGCTAAAGCCCACTTAATTAATGGAACGCTCCATAGTTCTTAATGCTAATGTTTGCTGAGGCCATCAGTATTGAATCCTGTGTTATCCAAGACAATGTTGCACCCCTAACGCAGGAAAGTAATTTTACCAATTGATGCTGGGTTATAGTCATTATAGAATCTTTTACGGCCGTACTTTTGTTATAACGTCTCTCATGACAACTACCTCTCCAAGATGATTTATTATGTAAGTGACTAGTATTTCTGAAAACAAATAAAACTGCCGTATTGAGTTTCTCATCTCTAATGAACAGAAAGCTACGGGAACTCAGCTAGATATTAAAATTTCATTTTAAACAACAAATGTCTCTAAGTTTTTATGACAAAGTTTAACCTTACAACATAGAATTCTATAATTTTCTTCAGTTGCTCATTCATATAATGCAAGAGATAACAGGTGTAACAATCTTTTTACGCCAGTTTACCGTAAAATAATAAAACCATTCACTCAAAAACTTTTTAATATTGAATCGAAAATTTAATGAACCAAGTACGAAATTAAAAAAAAAAAAAAAAAAAAATCCCAGGTGTGTTTTACAACACTGCATACAAAAATTTCAACTAAATTCCACAAACAACTTGACAATTCGAGTATTAAATAGTTTTTACAGTTAAACAATTTTGACTGAAAGAAACAAGATTTGCATTTTTAAAATGTGACTGTACACTTTTGTTTCCGAAATTTGATTCGATGTAAGACAAGAAACACATTAAGGACACTGGAACAAAGAAATTCTGATTAATTATAACGAAATAAGCTGATTATTTTAAATGTTTAGAGGTTTATTAGCTATTCTCACTACGTTGCATCTGATTATTTAAAACTGGATAAATTACATGGCAAATAAGAAATGTACTAATCCCCGTTTAGTGCTGTGTTTTCGTTAGATAGATCAGTTTCGTATCGAATAAGCGAGCTGAACATCAGGAAAATTTCATATTTTTTTCAAGTATAAAAGTTCGATAGTGCATTGCATTTTGAAAACCTGAAAAATGTTTCTTCACTGGAGAACGAAATGTCATCCGTTTTTTAACCAAATGTCATAACAAATATCTATCCCTAAAACCATGCCAAGTAAATCCAGCATTTTCAAGGAGCAGGGAAGATACCTTAAAACTCAGCAGTAAGTACAGAAATGAAATACGTATTGTAAATACATTTGTTGCTGTATATCTTTATATAATTTAAATTTTCAAGCGTAAGATCTGATAACTCGTTCTCCCCACTCTCAAAGCCTTAAATAAAAACAGTAACCTGTACTACACGAGGCGTTTGTAAAGTGAATTTTGAAATTTATCCATAAGCTTAGAATTCAAATCTTTTACTGCAAACCATGAAGCGCGGGTATAAAAGTGATGCATCAGGCATGTTGTTTACAGACATTTAATAATTTCTAACAACTTTTAAAATGTTTTTATTAACTCATTTCTAAAAAAAGTTTAAATTTGAAGACCAGCGTAATCTATAGTCAAATAACAAAATAATCTCAGTATAAGAGTTTATATTCAGAGAGAGTAAGAATGGCTATATTAATAATTCTATTTAATCACTGTTCAGCATCAGTATTGATTAAAAACTTAATACAGTCAAAAGTCGTTAATTCGGACACCCATAATCCGGAACTCAAAGCTAAAAACTTTCTGCGCATGCGCCGCGTTGGCACATGCGCACAGGCGTTTTACGCGTGCGAGTAAGACCTTGACTACTGCGCATATGCGTGTGCGCAAGTGCAGAATACGTTTTCGCCTGCGCGTTTAATGTAGTATAACGGACGGTGTAAGCTAAAATTATCTAATTATCTATTTCAGTTAATGATTGCGTTGTTCCTTAATCTTCGAATTGAATCCCGCTTATTATTTTTTGCAGACTGTAAGAGCAATTTTATAAAAGTAAACTTGAACTTTCAATTATGTCAAATAGAATTTCCGATGCTGGAACTTCCAAAGGATCTACAAAACGAAAGTATGCTTCGATGTCCAACAAACAAAAAGTGAAATTGCTGCAAAAAATGGATAAAGACATGAAGAATGTGACAGAGAGGTTAGTGAAAATGAAAAAATTTCGATTGACAAGTTAGTCGGTATTCTCGGCACAGCAATTAACGGGACTTCAACAGCGGAACTTTGTAACTGAACAAGAAATTATGTCTGTTTATAGAATTAAAGAGAAAGTATTATCACATAAAACGAAGCAACTTAAACAACTTACATTGAAAGAAATGTTTAATAAAGTAAACAAATAAATATAAGCTTTTTTTTTTTTTTTTTTTAAATTTTGATACCCTTTAGATCATAATTGTTCTTTATTTCATAAATTACGGTTTAATATTTTTAATTTTAGAATTTCTGCATGCCATCTTACGAGATTTAAACTGATGATCTATAATCCGGAAAAATCGATAATCCGGAATCGCCGAAGTCCCGACGAGTCCGGATTAACGACTTTTGACTGTATAATGATTGTTCAGCATCAGTTATTGGAAATGAAAGGAGAAAGGCTTCATACCTTCATAGAAATCGTAAGTACACATTGTTTTACCGACAACCGCATGATAATCTGGAAATTCAGAATCCGCAATGGCTTTTAATTCCGCAGCTAATTCTTTATCCAAAACAGCAGGACGTTTCACTTGTTTACCTAAAATGTCCTGAAATTTAACATCGAATTTAAAATACTAATAGATTAAGGCGATTTGCATTTTGCAAAAATTTATAAATTTCTAATGACTAAAATAAAAGTAGGCACCTAAATCAAAGTAACATTTATTTTGAAAAAACGCAAAGCCTTTTACTACAAACAAATTTTTAAGATTTTAAAAGTAATTGAATATTTATAAACTAAATGTTATCCTTCTGATAAAAGAGAGAGAAAAGCATAGCAAAAACCAAAAATTGGAAAATAAAGGAACACTAAACTCTCATAATTTCCCTCCTCATCTTTGGTTAACAGACTTATGAAAATCATTGAGAAAATTTAGAATACAACTTAATGATGATTTCATAAAAGAAATTTAGAATTTTTTAATTTTGTTTTAAAATTTACAATAAATTCCTTTACAATTGTGTTAATTCGTAATTTGTATCTATGATATAAAAAAGTCTCAGTATTTGGCGGGTAAAACCTTTCTGAGCTTCCACTTGAAACCCTTTCGAAAATTACTGTGCTTTTGTAATGTTACTACTATGGTACATAAGGGCTGAAAATTCTTAGTAGTTATAACAGTTGTTAAAAGATAAGATTTTAAGGTAAACATACTGTTTTAGCGTTGCAATTCCGTTTACTCTCATTAACTTCCGAGAATCTGTGTCAATGCGTACTTTAAATCTCTAGAACAATTAAAAAATACAATATTATTATTCCTATATTAATTGTTTTCATTACTTCAGTGATATTGTATCGACTTAATTGGTTATGACACAGAAATGTTTCAAAATGGGATTTAATGGAAAAATTAAGACTATAGTTTAATAATAATTAAATAAAACAAACTTGGAATTTTTAAATTTAGAATAAATTTCCTTTATTTAATTTAACTAAATCCATTATAATACAGAAATATGTAAAAAACCTATTTACTTTTTAGAATCGAAAATTAAAAACTGAATGCTTTCTTTTGATGTGTCTATTAATTTGAAAAAGACATGCTCTTTTTTATTGGTCTCAGACATTTAACCGACAGGGCATTTAATCGGCAAGGACATATAACCGACACGAATGCTTAGTGGACAAGATATTTAGCCTACAGGACATTTATAGGACAAGATATTTAGCCGATAGGACACTTAGCCGACAAGACATTTAGCCAATAGAATGTTTAACCAACAGCACGTTTCGCTGCCAACGCGTACATATAGACAAAAAGTATAAGACAATGTTTTAGTAAAATGTATCTATATTCACCTGGCAAAAGGCTGTTTTCAGGGTACACAACGAGAAGGGTTATGGAAAAGTACCACATATTTTGCATTAATTAATGGCAAAGAGACTAGATTTTTAAATTAGATAGGAAAGCAATCTTATTTCGGCCCAGATTTTCAAATCAGTTTCGAGAACAATCAGACATAGGGCCCTCTATTTCAGGAAAAGAAAAGAAAATTTCAGTAGTCTGAAGAGCGAATGATTTTATATGGGAAGCAATGGGTGTAGAAAAGCAAAAGCGAATGCAGAGTGATCTGTCGACGAAAATATTAATGAAACGTGAAGGCCTAGAGAATTTTGAAAGCGATGAAAAGTTAATGCTTTTAATTGAAGAAGAAAAAGTTTTGTTAATATGAAAGGGTTTAAAGAAATTCAATTTACTAACTGAAGAAGCTTTACGGATAACTTTTGGAGATCTTAACTCAAAACTACGATTGAGAATAGGTATTTATTATTATTATTATTATTATTATTATTATTTCTCCTTTTCAAACATGTGATTAATATTCCCTCCCCAAAAATTTTAACACTCTTTCAGTTTGGCCTATGTATGTCAAACCACGTTGGCATGATAGCTAAAATTCCACAAAAACTGAAATCAGAGATGAGATTATTCAGAACAGAACCACGAATTTTAGTGATGGTTCTTAAAATCGTATTTGTAAAGAATTCTTGCAATTTTATAACTGATACAGAGATGAAATGCCGAAAAGATTGTTAGGATTATTTTTAATAGCTGAAGCCTTCTAGGATGGTAAAAGGAACATTTTCGAAAGGTTTCATTCGTGTCTATGGCGTAAAATCTTTTTCTCAATGGAAACTGCTTTCAAATAATTAGTTTCTCAAAAAGCAAGTACTATGAAAAGAAAATTTTGGAAGCATGATTATGTAATAGCAAAAAGGGGGCCTTTTTTTTGACAGAGTGATGGAGAGGTAAACAGACAGAAAAAGATGTACGGTAAAAAATTTCAGTTCCAGATCAAGAATTTTGATCCATCTAGTAAATGGCTCTTAGGTTTGTAAGATAGAAACATACCTACAAGCCAATGAAAATCCTATGCCGCTGTATAAATAGATTTTCAAATGCTAAGTTATAAATATTTTTAATGAAATATGAGACTAGCGCTACCCGTATACTAGGTATGAGCTCGCAATGAAAAACGTAATGCACCATATAAAATTATTAGGAAATACCATGAAATAAAGTACTGAAGAATTTCAAATAATACTTATGGGTATTTTACAGAAAAAGAGTTCTCTTTTTACTTTACTGCTACATCCGTTACGTTTGCTGCTAAAACAAAGTAATCTGTGAAAAAATAAATAGGTCCAAGTCGTTGCTAATAATATTCTAGCCAACGAAAAAAATATTATTAATCGTAAAAATACAGGTTGTATAAATTTAACAAACTGGATTAAAGTACTTATCTTAAAATCAAGTATTTAAGCTTTGAATTTATCTGTTCCAAATGATTATTAATTCTGATAAATATTATACTTGTTTTAACTCCTAATTTGCATATATAATTATTAAACTTTAGAATGCAATAAGGATGTAAAGTTTGTTTTAACGGATGTTTACATAAAAAATACATTACAAATAAAAACTGGGACGATTGACAAAATTCAATTTGCGTTTCTCATGTCTCGAAAGCGCTACGTAGGGTATGTATTAGATTTATATATAGCATTGTTCTAATACAGGTATTTTGACAGAAAATCGTACTTTTTCTGAAATAACATGCTAAGATTTTTCCATATTTCGATTCTACGACTCAAAATTACGCCAAATTACCAAGTTTTGTAAAAATCGCAGGAGTAGTTTTTAAAATATTAGCTCTCAAAATTTTAGCTCCTCAATGTTAAGAGTTCACCCAGTTTTTATGAATTAGTTTCAAAATTTGTATTTTTAAATAATTTTTATAAATTAAAAAAATTGAATTATAATCCATAAAATTTTAACATCATATTAAAGTAAACGTAGTTCTAAGCTTACCTGCAAAAAATTACAGTTTTTTATTCAAAATTTCCGAAGATATGCGTGAATTTATACACTGGTGCATTTTGAAATTTGGCATATTTGTTGAAAGCGACAAAACATCAAATGTGGTTTAGACACTTACTCAAATTATTTGAAAGTAGGAACGATGTGAACTTTTTTTCCGCTCCTGTACAATGTAAAAAGATGCCTTTTTTCGCTCCAGCATAATGGAAGTAAAAGGAAAATTGGTTGCCATATATTAAGAAATTCGCCAAGGTTCGTTATTCATGGCGTAAACTAAAAAAATTACTCCAAGATAAATTTTTGAACTTCTCCGTAAATTTCGCACCAAAATTTACAAAATTTAATATCTAAGCATAATTTGAGTCGTAGAAGCAAAATATGAAAAAAAAATTGGTATATTATTTCAGAAAAAGTCCGATTTTGTGTCAAAATACCTATGTTAGAACAATTCTATATATAAATCTAATACATATCCTAAGTCGCGCTTTTGAGACATGAAAAACCCAACTTGAATTTTATCAATCGGCCCACTAGAACGGGAGATATAGAACTGTCCCTTTTCTTTTTCCTCGCAGTGTACCTGTTGTCAACTTTTCATCATAAAACACATTTGGTAGTTGAAAATAATCATAAAAGCTTTGTTATAACACTGTTTAAATCTTAATTCGAGTTAATTTCGGAATTGCTCGAACTCTTTATAAATTCAACTTTTAAGTTATTTTCTCATTTATCAGTACAATACGTTGTTCAGCACTTAACGATGTCATCTTCGATTTTAATTCTTGTGTAAATTTATTGTAGAGCCTATTATATCAATATGGTTTGATATTTATCGGCAATACTGAAACAACATGGAAATTTATCGCCAGGAAACATGAATCATAAAGGATAAATAGGCAAATTTTGACAGCTAATCTCAATTGAACATTTAATATGATTTGACTTTAGATTTACAAAAATCATTCATAGACCTTCTTCAGTTAGTTAAATTGGATTTCTGTGAACCATTCAATATTAACAAAATCATTTCTGCTCTAGTAAATGATATTCATTTTTCAACGCTTTCAAAATTTTAATATCTTAGTTTTTTTACGTTTCATTACTATTTTCCTCCGACATGTCACGTTACATTTGTTTTCGCTTTGCTGCGCTGATTTCTTTTCATATAAAATCGAAAAGATTTTTGCGAAATTAACTCTTACGATCGTTTCGCTACTCCGGCCGTTGAACTTTTCTTTTCTCCTTCTGAAATAGAGAGACCTATGTCCGATTGCTCTCGAAATTGATTTCAAAACTTACGCCCAAATAAGATGTTTTTTTTTCTATCTAATTTTAAAATCCGTAGTCTCTTAAGCATTTAAAAATGACAAAAATATGATACTTACCCATAATCCTTTTTAATCCTTTTGTGTGATAAATATGGATATATTTTACTAAAACATTATCGTATGCTTTTTTGGCTACATGTTGTCAATTAAACGAGCTGTAGGCTAAATGTGTTGTCGGCTAAATGTCTTTTTGGCTATATAACCCTGTTGGCTAAATGTCGTATCGACTAATTCTCCATGGCAATTAACTGTAAGTACTGGCTAAATGTCCTTTGGGCCAAGTGTCACCGACCCCTCTTTGGTACGTCCACGGCATCCAACTTCCTCGGTAAGTAGGGAATAATTTTCGTATATACGGTTACACTGAAGTCAGTTTCTTTAAGTAACTAGAGTCTCCAGAAACTAATACATCTTCTATAATTATTTTATAGTCAAAGAGACGTACATTTTGAATTTGAATTAAGTAAATTTGTATCAAATAACCGAAATACAGAGGCTGTTCGCACATCTTTTAGACCATTTTCATTGTAATTACATGCTAAACGTTCTACTTGATAACCCTTATCCTTCATTATCTTTATATACTGTAATTTCCGAGATAATGAAGCCTTTTGTAGTATCGGAAAAGGTATTTTATCCCATTGCTCTCGAACAGCTTTCTGAAATCTAAGAAGGTTGCAGGTCGATGTCTGGACAATCCGCTTATTAAAAGTCCAAAACCGCAAAAATACATTGGTGATAGATCAAGAGAATTAGTAGGGATATGAATGAAGAGTGTGGCCTTGATACTCGTTTCTTGTTCCACTTTTCCAGCAAATTAACAGTAGATTCTGACATGTCGCTACTTGCTTTGTCTTGATGCAGTTCTACTGTGAAAAGCCGTATTTAGACTTTATAAGGCCCTAAGCTATTTGAGATATGGGACCCAGTATAAGTCTATTAAACTATAGTTTAATACTATATTTATACAATTCTTTCATTTTTTGGGGGGTGCTCTAGCAAGTGGGGGGCCTTAAGCTATAGTTTGTGCAGCTTATACGTAGATCCTGCGCTGACTATTGTAAAGAGAAGGTATATCATATTTGAAAATTGGCTATGAAATATGTTTTTGATAATATATGGAGTTGATTTTAACATTTTTCTTCGCTTTCCTTATTTTTAATTTGCCGTTATATGAAAAAGCAGCAGCAATCATAAATTCCTTAGAAAAACTTTCTTTATATTCCTTGAACTATGTGCTAAGATTCAAATTTACATTAATCACTTTGTTTACAGTTGACACTGAGTACTTTATTTTGCAACTGTCCTTAGACTTGGCTGATTTTCTTTTAACATTAAAGATTTTACTTTTTCAACATTTCTTTTTTTTTACGTCCATCTTTTTCCTTGGATGCATATCTGTAACAATTTGATCCTTGATGCTACATTTTGAAGTTTTTTTCCCTTTGTTGTTGAAAACATTACATATAGCATCTTTAGATATCGAGAAACCATGGCTTTCACGACGTTTTTTTATTACTAGATACGAATAATTTTTTTCGAAAAGAACACAAACATAACCTTCCATCCATTGTTTCTTTGAAAGCGACATTTTGCATGAAAACAAAAAAAAAAAAAAAAAAAAAAAAACTGGCAAGTAGCAGACGATAAAAGCTGAGTAGGCGAGGACATCAGTGCTTTACTGTGGGGGCAACTTTGACAGGGGGTGCTGCTCTTCGACTGAAAATTTCTTGTATGTTAGATATTTTGTCAAGATTCAGAACTTCTCCGTCATAACGTTTAAACAGATTTGTGAGAACTAATTCGCAGTATACGTGAGGCTCTTGCACTATGACTATCCAATGTTTGCTGGGAGAGCTTCCATACAATGTAGCTTATAGGGGATCTTGTAAATAGAAGTTAATGACTTTAAGGAACGCAAAAGGCCTAAAGGGGGTAAAAAACTGTTGACGTAATGGAAGCTGTCTTTAGATGGAAAAATTTGTCATCAGGGGTGACATAAATCTGTGCCTACGTTTCCTACCATATTCATTCTTTTGATGATGTTTCTTCAGTGTTCTTTCCTTTTCACAGGAAAGGCTTTTACAAAACAGATTCTTACAAGGCCTTTACAAGGAAGATTACTCACAAGGAAGGTTCTTTCCTTTTATATTTTGGATTTACTTGTGATGGATGACGAATGTGTAAATCTTTAGTTACTGGGCATTTGAACTTATAATTTGCGCCGTTTCGTAATTTGCCGCAGATACAGGTATCTGTTGATAATATGTCTCTGGAGTAAACACAGGTAGGAAATGGACCGTAGCCTGATAGAATTCAGTTTATTTATGGTGCAGCCATAAGTCTATTGGTATCCTTATTTGGAAATATACTGAAAGTCATTCTTCTCTTTTGTTTGATATCCCGTTCTTGTTGCCGTGCTGTCGCTGCTATTTGTTGCAGACTGGAAGTGAGATGACTTCTAGACCAAGATAAGTATGGTATGTCCATGTTTATTGTTGCTGGAACTTCTGCAAGCTTCGTTCGAAAGATTTTTTACTTGTTCGTTTCCATCGTTTGCTTCGTGTCCTTCGATTCATGAAAGAATAATGTGCTGTTATTTGCATGTTCATAATAACTGAGGAATTTTGTTCACTATAGGGCAACTGTGTTGCGTGTTTCTAATAGTGTGTAATGGTAAATGACAGTCTGATTGGATGTGCATTTTGTTAATGTTACTTCTTCTAACATATTCTAATATCTTCTGTATCGCAGTTAATTCTGCTTGCATGTGCGTATATGTGGGAAGTAAAAAGTTTATTTTCTTAATTTTCTAACTTTTTTTTTTTAATTCTTTCGCTCCAGAAATATACAAATGGCAGATTAAATATAAGAGGATATAAAACAAATGCTCAAATAGGACTGAGTGAGTACATTAAACCTTAAAAGCACATACGAAAGGAAGTTTACTGCCAACATTTTTTTGTAGCTCCTTCAACTTAAATTTATCTTACAGCCTTTAAAAACCTTCAAAGTTTGAGACACTTTACTATATTTACTTGCGTTTATTATATTTACTTGCGTTTATTATATTTACTTGCGTTTATTATATTTACTTGCGGTTGTTTCGTCCAGGTTTAGGTTAAATATGGTGTTATATTGTTAATAATTTCCAAAAGCTAACGACTTTGTTATGTTTTCTGCCAATTTTTTGTGAGTTTTAAAAGGGCAATTTTTATCTTACATTTTAAATTTAACCAAACTTACGATTATAGTACACTTTGATTTATCTGGCTCCTGACAGAAAACGTCCATCATTTGTCTGCAAAATAACAAATAAAACTTACCAAAAACATAGGTAAACCTTTTAGAAAAGTCAGCCAGACATAAAAACTCGTAAAATGGAATCCTTTTGCAAACCTTTTATATCATTATTAAGACAAAGACTTATTAAAAATTTAAAACGTACCAACTCCAAGTACGGTTTCAGTAAGCCATCAACTGCTTCGTCTGATATCACTAAAGAACCTCCAGGTATACCTTGAGAAAAAAATATTACAATTACTTAACCATTTGACAGAAGAACGCTAGACATAAATTTAAATAACAGAATAAGCGTAGAAATATACTCTTTGTTTACCGCATATACTATTAACTAATAAAATCATTATTAGTTTTAAGTCTTCTTATAAAATACAATTTTTACTTATGTTATAGCGGTATTTTATCCAGCGTTTATGCATATTGTTATAATTTACAAATTATTTATCTGCAGTACTCTTGAGTGGAAAGCCCTTTTAAGTATTAACTTCTGCAAAATGTTTCTCTTCCTTTAGTTAAAGCAAAAGACTTATACTTTTCTTGTTTTAAGTTTTGCTTTACAAGGAAATCTATGGGACAGAAAATTCATCTTTTTTATTTATTTACTCATATATAAAGCAAATAAATGAAGGAATTTTTCACTTCGTTTGCTTTTTATTCTGTAAAGAGAAACGATAATATTTTCCAATTTATATGAAACTCAGTGGCGGCTTGTGGCTAAAATTAGTGGGGGTGCTGTTCCAAAAAAAAAAAAAAAAATTTAACCCTCTCTCTCATTCCTTTGTTTTAAAATTATGTAAAAGGAAACAAACATGTATAAAAAGAAAATTTATTTTGAAACTTCATGAAATCTTACAAGAACAAAATGAAACATTTCTTAATGACTTTAACCAAAATTATTACAGTTCAATCTTTGTCTAATCATTTAAAAATGAAATCCATTCCTCTTGTTTTAATTTGCGCGAAAAGATCAATAATTTTCTCCTTGATCTCTGGATGACAACTGAGGAAATTTTTCTCTATTGAAAGCAATGCAAGCGCATTTAGTCTTTCCGAATTCCTAGTGCTTCTTAGAAAAGTTTTCATTCTTTTCAATGTTGAAAAGGAGCGTTCTGCCTCTGATGTAGTCATAGGAACTGTCAAGAGAATTTTTATCAGTTTCGTAATTTCACTAAGAACATCATCTAGATTATTTTCGAAGATAAATTTCAGTAGCTAAATTAATTTGCAGTATTCATGGATATTCAGACCTACAATAGAATACTTTTAGTTCAGTTTCAAGCTTTTCTTTGCCAATCACTGGATATGCTTCAGTGGTCAGTACAATTATTTCTGTAGAATGTTCATTCCTAAAACTAATTTCTTGTTAAACAATTTAGCAGCTGCTAAGTGTTTAGTTGAAGAATATCTGTGCATTATATCAATACATAGTATAAAGTCACATATTTCCTTAGCTTCTGCCATCAGTGTTTTTGAAAGATGCTTACAGTACTTTGAGTTTCTCAATTCTAAAATAGAAGTTTTGAAAACTTTAAACACACTAATTTATCTGGACTGCATTTAGTTGTATAATTATTTCAACATGAGGTATCTGATAAAAAAAATCTCTAACCAAAACTTGAAATTATCATCATTTAGATATTTTAAAATTCCTGTTGCTTTTGCAATAGTTTGATCTGCATTTGATGTTGACTGAGGCAATTTTTTAAAGGTTGCAAATTTTCATGAAATCTGTTTATGGTCCGTATGATGAAATACCACACGCGCGGAGTAAAAAGAAATCACGTTGTCAGTAACATGCCAGAATTTCGGCACTGCAAGAGCGACAGTGCTGCTCTCTCTACCCGGCTCGCGTGCTGCTTTCTGTGTGCGCATGCGCAGAACAGCCAAACACCACGTCACTGGAACTGTGAAGCGCGCAGTTCCAAACAAAGACTTTCGTACCTTTTTCACAAAGTGGGGGTTGGCTACTGACATTAAGCTTAAGGATTATGTATTGTAAAAGTATAAAGAAAGAATTAAAGACTAAAGGACACAATATCTTAAATATTAAAAATAATAATAAGTGGAAATAGGGGGTGCTGCAGTTAAGTGGAAATAGAGGGTGCTGCAGTGCTTATTTCGAGCCGCCAGTTATGAAACTACAACACAATATTGTATGTTCTTTGAATGATTTAGCCTAAATTTTAGAATTTACTTCTTGTAATTTTGTTCTCCTTTAAAAATTAAATCCAGCAAAATTTCATTTAACTGAAACTTTGGACTACTTTTACGTGCTTCAGAGAAAGAAATTTGCAGTTTATGATTTTGAAAATTAGTTTTATATATTAAAATATGACCAGAAAAAGATTTATGCCAAATTCATATTTTGATACATTGAATCCAAACTGCGCTTTACCCATGTGTGGAGGTTAGTACTAAATAAACTTGCAGACATAAATAATTTTTCGCGACATACTCACCAATTCCTCCACAAGTTCCAATTCTGATGAAAGTGACATCTTTGCATTGTGCATGATACATCAGCTTAATCATCTCATGAAGTAAAATAGACAGAGATGGAATACCCATACCGTGCTGTAAAAACAAGAAATAACATTCATGAAGAAAAAAGAAGCATTGTTATTATATAATTTCATCTTTCGTTTTCATAAAATTTTGTGTGTCATTTTTAATATAAAGTTTTCTTACCTTTTTACAAATTTTACATATTAACTAAAGGGCATTTTACTCTAATTTTAACCTATTTTTTACCTAAACAAAAATATTGTCACCGTTTTGAAATATAAATCCGATTTTTAACATCACCTTGAAGGGTCTGCTAAAAGAATCTTGCTTTAAAAAATAAGTAAGAATCTTGCTTTAAAAAAATAAGTCTTCAGTCTTAAATTTAATTGCGTAATTTCAATTTTTTAAACGGCCCCAGTTTGTATTCACTGTCGAATATAAGATTTCCTCTTGGGATGTTAAATGAATTCCAGAATACATTTAAAATATATTTATAGCTGTGATAAGGCTTTTATGTATTATAATTAATGCCCTTAGAATTCGTATCTTTAATATAACATGAATCTTCAGTATTTTTTATGTATTCAACACGTTACTCACAGTATATCGCATGCATATAGTAGTTGCACAATTAGTGTTTGTCCCACACGTAACATTGTTTGTTTGTATTGATATTTTAGTTTTAGTGTTTATCTCTAGAACTGTTTCATTTGATGCTCATCCTGCAATGATATTATAGGTTCCTGCAATTATACATTCATCCTGCAATATCCATGCCTCAAAACGTGTTATATCATCTGTCTACAACAGCTAGTACCATTCCTTTTTATTACTACGTACAGAAATGATTCACACAACGGCTCTCACAACGAAACTATTACACTATGCGAAGGGAAAACAAGTGAAATAAATAGACACAAGGGGGCGTGAGCTACTCAGAATGCATAGATGGAGTTGGCCGCAAGCCGAACGGTAAAGTCAGCGCCCGTCTCTTTCATCGTCGTCATTGTGGCAGCCGTGTCAGATTTGATCATGGCGAACAGGCGCATAACGTTCAAGATGTAGGAAGATAAAGGGCTTGCGCAAGGAACATTGCAGGCGATTGTGTATGGTGATTTGGAGATGACAAATGTGTGTGCAAAGTGGGTGGACATCGGACCTCGAACCAAGACCTTGGACTACGTTTTGCTTGACAACATGAATGACGCAGCCACGGGCCAACATGTTGAATCTTCTGCCGAATTGCATGCAATTGCCCGTAGATGGTGCACCAACAACCCCACAGAATGGTTTACCAAAGCCCTTCGGAACCTCCCAGCCAGATGGCAGAAGTGTATTCTGTGATGTATACTTCTGCCATCTTAGCCAGATGGCAGAAGTATTTTCTGGCAGAAGTGTATTCCAGCCAGATGGCAGAAGTGACATGGGCGAGGATTATTTCTAACTTATGCTCTATCAGGTTTTTTTTTTTTTATTTTTTTTATTTTTTTTTTTTATAAATTGTATTCCGCTCTGTGGCAGCATTTGTGTCATTAATTTCTGTTTTAAGCATCTGGCCTTTGTTTGGAATTATATGCTTTTGAACATCTTTAAATGAATTCCCGATGCGGTGCTTAAAGGAGCTTAAAACTCTTTTTCCGCTTATACTTCTGCTCGTTATTTAAATGCAGCATAATTTACATTTTGATGATGGAAGGAACAGAAGTTACAGGAAAGAATCAACATAAAAATAACACGTTATTAGCTAATAAATCTTACAAATTCAAAATGAAAATAGGAGATTATTACTCTGTTTAACCGCGATAATTCAATAATCTTAAATATTATGAAACGATTAAATGCTTCTATATAGGAAAAAAGAACTGAAAATGAAAAAAGTGAAATATACATTTTTTGAATAATTACAACTAAAATTAAAAATAGAAGTCAATAACACTGATTTAACTTACGCTAACAGATATTACTGGTCCTATTTTGAACATTGAATATCGGTACGAACGAGCACTAATATCACACAAGGAGGTTCCAGTAGGCAGCTTGATGTCCAATTCACGTTGCATAAAGTGGGCAAATTTTTCCATCCGTCTAGGTGTTCCACCCATACATACGAACTATAGAAAACAATGAATACGCAGAAAAATCTTGCTATATAATTAAATTTACATTTTTCATTATATAACTGAATAAGTAATACATATATATAACTAATAATAACACATGTATATAACTGAATGTGTATATAAATATATCCATATATATAATTGAATGTGTATGTAAATCTGTATTACATCTATGTAATTGTAATGAGCAATTTTATGCTTTCCAGACATCGAAATATCCTGTTAAACATCAATATGCATGGACCAAGCTGTAGCTAATCTAAATCACGATACTTTCATACGAACATTACCATTCGCGAAGAATTAAGAATTAAAACCTTAATTATTTTCACGCGAAACATTTTTTAGAAGTTTTATAGATATATTTAGAATGTTAACATTACTTAAATTCCAGTTCTAAACTCTCCTGAATCTATCCCATGTGCATTCTTTAGGGCATTAAATTAATGCTTTATATTTTTCTAATTCCTCTCTCTAGAGTTTCGGTTTTCCTTCCGAAGCATTTCTCACGTCTAACGCTACGCCTCACTAACAGAATTTTACTCATATTTTGCTACTTAAGTGTACGGCGTTCTCAGTCCCCCTTTCACCGCAGCCTGCGGCCATTTAAGAAATATGTATAGAGGTGCATTTAACATTCATAATTAATTTGTAAGATTAAAAAAACTGACAGAAAAGCCAAGTATGCGAATTTCGACAGATGTAGATTTTGGTGCAGAAGCGCAGTAAAAAAGCTTCGCCGAAATCGGCAGTTGAAAAAAAGAGGTGTGGAAGTGTGTGCGTGAACCGGTATATTCTGCCGATGTTCTATGTAAATTTACTTATTATATTTTTTATTTTTATGTGTAAAATAAAATCACGTTATCGTGAAGCTGGTGTCTTCATTCTGCTCGACCATTTATCACGAATTATGAAGTTTTTCTAGGTAATGGAATATGCAGTTTAAAAACGAAAGTTGAGTTTCGTTCTTCAAGTGGAAAGTGTTTTCAAGAATTTCAGAAGTGTTCTTCAACAGTGTTCTTATGCTGTGATCATCTTATCGAGGATAAAAAAGTAAGGTAAACGTTACTTAATTATTGATACGACTTTTAGTTTAAGAATTATAAAATGATGCACTCTAGAATTCTGGGATGTTCGGAAATTCGTCTTCTATTTTAGTGTAGAAAAGTGATCAGAGAAAAGCGATCAGAAGTAAAACAAATAATATTAATGCAATGTGAGTAGTAGCAGTGTTTATAACTGGACTTTCCTACAAAGTACAGTCCTTTTTAGCACTAGAAATTGCGATCTGGAGGTTCTATTGTCATAGAAGAGGCTAGCTTGCTATCTTATTTTCGCAAGTATAAAATACACATTAAAAGCAAGACATCTTTGCATTAAACCCTTCCCTCAAGAGTTGCATCTCAAAACAGATAGCACTCGAGTGCTACAAATTTATAAATTACCAACTTGAAATATCCCACAAGAGTAAGTTCCATGTTGTAATAACCATGCAGTAGTTTTCATCATATCCTTAACAAAGATTATTGAAGTTTACAGAAATGAAATATAATTAGATAAACTATGTAACTTTCGTATGTCTACAATGTACAGGTACACCAATTTTCTTTAAAAGTCCTTT